ACGGAAAATCACGCGAGAATGTACACATTCTCGCGTGATTTTCCGTACATTCTTGCGCCGGCAACGCTTGTGGGTCGTTTTCAGCGAATGTCGGTGATTTTAAAGTAATTTTGAGCGATAAATATTTTTTTTTTGTGATCATTCCACTTGCCCGGCGGGCAAATGCAATGAAATTTGTACTCTCCCAACAATAAAAACTATTTGCCTCGGGCGATGGTTAACATCGAGCCCTCTTAAAATTCAGCAAGTCTTCTAAAAGCAGAGTCAAGTTGATAAAAAATGAGCGTAGATGCCCAAATTTCAGCAAAGTACCATGATACACAAAATTTCACTGGAAAGAACCCTGTATCACCTAAACGTCACCAGGATTAAAGGACTAATGTCTCATCACGACCTTGAAAAACTAATTCATGCTCTATTCTTCAGTATAGTCGATCCCTACGACAGTATCTTCACAGGTCTGCCTAAAAATTGGCTCAGACAGCTGCAGCTGATCCAGAATGCTGCTACCAGCATCCTCACTAAAAAGAGAGTAAAGCACATCACACCAATTCTAAAGTCCTTTGACTGACTCCCTGTATCTCAAAGAACAGACTTTAAAATACCTTTATTAGAGTATGAATCACTGAAGGGCTTAATACCGAAACACATTACAGACTTGCTGTCACAGTCGATCAACCACCCAGACCTCACCATGGCTCTAGTCTAAATACTCAGAACCAAAAATGGAGAAGCAGTGTTTAGTTCTGAATTAAAACTCCCAGAAAACTCTTAGATTGCACCGACAAATGTCACTCTTAAATTCCTGTTTAAAACAACTAAGAGTCAGTTTTTATTCAAAATTTAATTAAATCTTTAAATAATTTATTCATTTTTAAATCATCTTACCATTTTAATGAACTTTTATCCTCTTTAATTATTCTATTCTATTAATGTATCACCTTTATGCTGCTCCAATGTACTTCTGTGTCTGTTTTGCCATCATGTTTTTCATGTAGAGCATTTTGAACCGTCTTTAAAATGTGCTTCATAAATAAACCTGCCTTGTACCTCAGCTTAAAACTTTAGAAAAGGTGTCGTAGACTCACCACTTAGCAGAGGGCAAAGCGTACAGCTTGAAGTCTTTGTTGCTGATCCAGACGTTGCACAACAGCCGCTCCACGTGTTTGCAGAAAAACATGTGCCTGAAAAGCATCTGGTACCTGGTCAGAGCTTTCCTAGAGAATGCAGAAGGAAAATATTACTGCTTTGCCCAACAATTCTGAAAATCGGATATTCTCTTTTTGTTTAATGCAACAAGAAATAGTAATATATTCATCTAGTAACACATCAACCAACAATAATCTTGTTTCTTTCAAGTTTTTCTGTTTTAAAACAGTTCAGGCTGTTTTCTCTTCTCCAAACATCCATCGATGTCTGAATTCTAAGTCAATTGTGAAAATTTCCAGAAGTCATGGAGCTGGAGGTCGTATCTGCAGTTTATTAAGCCTTTCATCAATATGTGAACAAGACTGTTTGAAGTTAGAAATTAAAAAACAAAAAACAAGATGGTGATTTAATGGAACCTGTTGATGATGAGAGAGAGCGGCCACTTGACGATGTAATCAAAGGAGAAGGCCTCCAGTCCGTTGAGGGATGCGTCTGTCGGCTCCGCGTTAATGATGGCCTTCTCCTGTTTGGTCTCGATGGCGAGCACACGCAGCAGCTGAGTGATCACATCATGAGGCATCAAGTCGATCTGAAGACAAAGACAATCTGATAAGCATGGAAACACTTTGGGGGGTTTGGTGCTTTTTTATCATTTTATGGGGATTTTTTTTTGTCCTGTTTTCTGTCAGGTTCCAAATACACTTTCATCCTATTTTCAATAAAAACTAACAAAGCCTTAAGAAAATTACTCAAGAAAAAAAACTTAAGAAAAAAATAAAAGTGTCCAAGCAACTTGTTTAATTAGCACTACCAGTAAGGTAATAAAAGCAACATCAAATACATTTCAAAGAGCCATACTTTTCCACATTTCCACCAGTTTTAAAAGTATAAATCTGAAGTTTTTTGTTGTTGTTTTTTTTCCGTTTTTTTAAGACATTGCTGCAAACAATCTACAACAGCACTTAAAAAAAAACAACTGCCAGCTGCCTATTTCTTACACCTATACAGAAATGGAAAATTCAAAAATAGGAAGAAACAAAGTTGCAGAGGTTTTCCCAATTTAACAGAACGTTTTCTTTCTGGATTTTTTGTTTTTATGAATGTTCTCCCCCCACTTTTCTACCCGACATATTAAATTTAAACCAATCGATGTTTTCGCTCCTATGAAGACCTAAACCTGATGGTACAGTTGGACTGAAGGAGAAGCAAAGATTTCTCCCACCTTCAGGTCGTCTTTGAAGGGGTCTGTGTTGGCCGTGCTCATTCTCAGAGCCAACTCCAAGAGAGCTTCAAGTCTGGGAGGAACAATGTCATCCACCGGCTTCTTTAGCTCCTCCTCTGTCAGGTCCATAAAGTGGACGAAGAAGTCTCCTTTGTCCATTAAAAAGTAGTGCTTGATTGACCTGGTGGGAATGGAATAGATACTTTAGCATTAAAATAGGTCCAGAAGCCAGATTGGTTTTATTCCAAGGCAAACATTATCTCCATTTGTTTCTAATGACTGAAGCCTTCTTCTCTTTTTTAGTCACCTAAGACGTAAGACGAGCTCCTTCTCGTCCATAAGGAAGTCCAGCAGGACTTTGCTGGCGTAGTTGTAAGCTTTCTCTATCTGCTCCACGTAGGCCCGCTCCTTCAGCGTGTACAGCACCTCCTTCGCGTCCGGACACGTCACGTCTCGGCCGCACTCCCGCACCACGTTCAGGTACTTCCCTAGAAAATTAACAGTCAAACAAAAAGTGATGGTGGCGGTGCTATTTCTTTATTGCCTCGTTCGTTCCTACCTGTGCTCAGTATTTTGTCAGCCATTTTCTGCAGGAAAGAGGGGATCCGGTGCTGTACGATGGTGTATCTCTGATCCCAGTATTTGTCGTTGTAATCTTCCTGGATCTTCTCCTTCTGCAGTTCATGCTCCTCCACCATGAACTCACTGTGCAGAAGAAAGAAAACACATTAGTTTCGCTTTTGCTCATATTAAACAAACAATGCATTTCACAGGAAATTTAGGAGACAGTCGAACACAAAAATAATAAATGTTTAAAAGTGGTTTTGCTTATAGCTGCAGTTACAGCTGCAAAAGTTAAAGGTTTTGTTTCCAAGAGGTTTTCCTATTTATAGACTAAAATTCTGGATTCTTTGTAAAAAAAAAAAAAAGAAAAAAAAAAGAAAACCATTAGGTTAACTCGTTATTATCACGTTAACTCATCAATCAATTAACGCCGACAATTATTTTATCTTGTATTAACTCAGTTTTTATTATTTCTTTTATTACTATAAAAGTCTGTTGCTCCCAGGCTTTTATTTGGTAAAACTAAAAGTACCGGAACCGAAAGTACAGGAACTGAAAAAGAAAAGAAATTGGCAGATAAACAAACCAACAAACATGGAGAAGGGTACATCACTTTTACAC